AGCAGATCAATTCTTCATTATTCAGTAATGATATTGGCCAATAGTTTCTTGTGAAAGTCAAATCTTGTTCCTCCTTAGGTATTAGTGCTCTATTAGCCTCTTTCCAGCTCTCTGGCATCTTTCCCCTATGTAAAATAGAATTCATTTTGTAAAGGTTGTAAAAACCTCTATGTAATTTGGGTGTAAAGACAGAGACAAAATAGGAGTTGAGTTCCTCTCAGCTCGGTCCTCTGTCAGGACTTCTCCACTTGGAGTAAGCCGCGAGCTCGCTGCCTCCTGTGTCTTCCTCTTGCCGCCTTGAAGAAACCCTTCCTGCTGGATTTTGCCTCGGCTCATTTTCTACCTTCGCCTTCCTGATATCGGTCCCCCCCTGCCTGCGCTGAAGCTGTGCAGTCTTCCATTCCTTCCATTTCCAGTAAGAATCCTTCTTTAGTCTCGGCCAATTCAACTAAATTGGCTTCTTTAGATGCCTCCTAGTTGTCTCCCTCATTGGTAGCATTTGAGACTGTGCTGCCCTTAACTTCTTTTTCAAGGAGCATGATGGTGATCTACATCTAGTTACTATCTCTGAGAAATTTTGGAGAAATGGTGAAGGGCCAGAAGACTGGAGGAAAACAAATGCTGCCCCTACCTTCAAAAAGCGGGGAAAGGAAAATCTAGCAAAGATCCGTCAGTCTGACATCAATGCCTGAGAAGGTCATAAAGAAGTTGGTCTGTGAAGTACCTTGAGAAAAATGAGATGTACAATATTTATTTATTTAATTTAGGCACCGCCCATCTCACTCAAAGATAATTACAGGAAGGCAGCATAGATTTGTTAAGAACAGATCTTAGCAAACTCATCTCAATTCTCTTTGCCCCCGCCCTCTGGAACAGCATCCCCCAGAGATACAGATGGTGACCACTCTTCCGGAGTCCCAGAAGGCCCTTGACCTGGCTTTGGTTCCAGGCCTGGTGGTTGTTATCTATTGGTGGGGCCCCTGTTGTGTGTTGGCACTGTTTGTACTTTTTGTCATTCTAGTTGTTTTAGTCTGGGCTGCCTGTTCTGTGGGTTCTAATTGTTTTACTGTTTTGTGTGTGCGTGTGTGTGTTCTCACAATCTCAGTGACCTGATGGAGAAGATCAAAAATCTGGTTTGCATGTCCTTGCTTGGCACAAAGCCATCCTGCCTTTCCCAATCTTTGTTCATGGTCAACTCTTGTGCCCTTTCAGTAGGAATTCTGCCAAACATGCAAAGGGGTGGCGGGCTGCTGGAGTAGCCTCAGGGCGACCCAACACCACAGAAGCTCTCTGGAGGACTTTCAGCCCCACCTGCCAGGTTGTTATGGGGAAAATAGGAGAAGGAGTGCTGTGTGTGCTGCCTTGCATCCCTGTAGGAAAGGTGGCATATAAATCCTACAAACAAGCAAAAAAATCAGTACCAGACCCGCTTAACAGTGTGAACCCCTTGTAGTTTTTGCATTCCCTCTTGCTATCCTTCTCTTTATAGAGAAAAACAATAACAACATCCTTCCAGTTGTCAGGCATGGATGTAGCTTTCACAGCACATTTAAGCACTATATCCCTATTTTACC